AAAAAAAAAATTTGTCCCGACGACCTATCTTCTATGCGCAAATGGCTACCGTATTCAAAAATATGCTATTTTTCTATTAAAATTCTAGGTTTTGTATTTTATTTTATTTTAAAATATCTTATTAGGAGAATATATTGACTTTCATGAATATTATATAATTTAATTGACATAGAATAAAGGTCATAAGACATAAGAAATTAAACTTATTAAATTTTTTTTACTTTTTTATTTTCATACTAAATTTAATAATTATAATTAGTATTTATTCATATATTATATTTTAAAATCAAAGAACTACTAATTAGGATATAATCAAAGAAATAAGAGTTGATGTTGCTTTTGCAATAATCTATCAATTTCTCTAAATGAAACACTATCTACAGATTTGCATCGAAGCGTTTCTTATGATAGTGATTTTAATCACTGTCAAATATCATCTATACTTGTCATATCTATGCCTTGTCTACACTGTGCCTCGACCCCACTGTGCTACCGTTTTTATAAGCCAATTTTTTATTCTCTGGGGGCAAGGTTTGGACCACAAGTCATCTATTACCAATCTTCGAAAACAGTCTATTATACTATTGTAAACTGTTTACAGTATAAATAATTCTAACTAGAGGATATAAAATAATAGGTATTTTCTCACTATCCTTAAAAACAAGGTATCTTTCCACACAAACCTCACAGTGTCTGTACGAGTTTAGACATTTCTATTTGAATACAAATATGAGTTCATTATACATAGTTCTACTATTTCGAGACTGTGCTTATTAAACTTGAATTATAATTTAATTTTATATTTATTATGCTATATAATTGATATTAGATTTAATAAATATTTGACAATCTATTTTTTAGTCTATTGATTGCATACAATTAAATAATAACTAAAAATGTAATATTTTATAACAGAGACATTTCAATGAACAACATAAAAAAGTTACCCGAAGATCTATTTCAGTCTTCTAAAAATTTACTACTTCTACACATATATGGAAATGGAATAGAAGTTTTACCAAAATCAATTTTTAAAGGTCTTAATCAATTAGAAGATCTCGATATATCTGCTAACATGCTCGTAGAATTGTCTTCAGATGTATTTAAAGGCATGGTGTCGCTTAAAAAACTAAAATTACAAGAAAATCAGTTACAACAATTACCTTTAGGTAAAAATGTAAATATAAATACTACTTAACGTAACTAAGAATTTTCGTTTAAATTTGGTTATTGTACCGGGTACCGTTAAATTTTTCTGAGATGACATCTAAATTTGAGCAAACCAATCTTAAATTACTGTGTTAAATTAAAAATCCAATATAGTACAAATAGATAAGAGTTCTTTCATTTTACTATATATTTCAGGAGTATTTAATGATTTAGAGTGCCTAGAAGTATTATCCTTGAGAAATAATCACATATCATTTATTCGACCAGGATTATTTAGTAACATGCGCCGATTGATACATTTGGATTTAACTGAAAATTGGATATCACTAGTCAGTGAAGTAATTTTCAAAGACCATTTACATTTACTGTAAATCTTTGTATGATCTATAGCTCAATGGTAATGAATTCACAGACTTGGTATCTTTGAACGAACTTCATCTTGGTCAAAATTATTTAGACTTTATTCCCAAAAAGTCGTTTAAAAATTTAGCCTCTTTAGAAAAACTTTACCTGTTTTCAAACAACATTCAAAGCATAGATGAAGAGAGTTTTTACGGATTGAAAAATTTATCTTCGTTATTTCTTAACAATAATATGATAAAAGTATTGGAAGACAAACTATTTGCACCACTGGCTAATCTAAAAAAATTGTAATTTTCATTGACGCTCATAATTTTACATAATACGCAACTGAAATCTAGATTATAAATACAATAAATACTTAGGTAATTAAACTAAATTTAAATGGTACTTACTGACATATCTTTCAGACATATAGACAGCAACAAGTTTCAGTTTCTACCAACCGACTGCTTTAATCACCTTCCCAAATTGGTATCTCTGAAACTATCTAAAAATCCATGGCACTGTGATTGTGCTATACTATATTTGGCCAGGTAAAAATTTTATAAGTAGATATTTGTTTCATAGCCTACTTATTAACACCTAGTTTTAGCCTTTAAAGTCTAATGACTCAGCAAATAAATATGATTAATTTCAACATTAATATATTGATTAAAAAAAATACAACGATTTTAAAATCTGTAAAATAAATCGCTTATTTATTATTAAAATTTATTACACTCGTAATATTACACGTGCAGTAACACAATTCTATTTATTCTTTATCGGCGAACTTAAATTATACTTATTTAATGATTTATTTATAATTAATAGATGGTTACAAGCTAACAAGCAAAAAGTTTGGGATTCTAATCCGACTTGTCGAGGACCAAGAGATTTAGGAGGAAAACCCGTGGAAGACATGACATTTGAAGACCTATGCGATGGTCAATGGGCCAGTATGGTGAAACTAACACCTCGGGTGCCTATCCGTTGAATCGGTGATTTGTGCAACTGTGTTTAAAAATCGATAGGCTTAATGGTTTTTTTTATCATTCATACTTAAATACAATAAACGTATAAAAACAATATTGAGTTATTTTTTTAAATTAATTGTACAATTTATTGCGAACAGATAAGAAAGCGGCTGTTATCTTGAGACTCGAACAACAGTATGCGGTTATTTTAACATTTTTTCTTTAGTGCCACTCAAGATTTATAATAATACGTTTGCGTTCGCTGGTATTTTTGTGTTTAAGTGTATACATGTAATTATAAGGCAAAGATAAGAACAGTAAACAATTCTTCGATCTTCGTAAGGCATTTTTAATTTTTTTTTTATTATTCTGCAGTCAGCAATAAGCGTTCCATGCGATCAGTTCGAATTATAACTATGGTCGGCACAAGTCCGTTTTATTTGTTTTGTACAGTTTTGATTGTTTATTTTAGTGGTAAATACATTCATTATTAAATTGAATTATTTTATTAGAAAAAAACAATTTCATATTATCATGATATTAATTAATATAAAAATTATAAAAGATACAGTTGTATAAAATTATTAATTAAATTCTAGATTTTGTGATTAGCAGTAATGAAACCAAAACTATAGAGCTTAATAAACTAGTAAGTAAAAATGGCACATTTATAAATTTCATTGCAAAAAAAACATTTCATTCCCGTTATAATAAATGACAAATACAATATTTGTTTAACTATTAAACAATAAGTATTAATACTTTTTGAATAATAACTAAATATTTTACGGATTTTTTTATAATTATATTCCTTAGCAACATATACCGTTGGGATTTAGTAAATTTAAAATTAATTAAAAGAATAACAATACATACACACAATAGGCATTAATAAATGTTTGAATATTTTATATATTATTATTTAAATTTTGTTTTGGAGTATTGCTGTCTTTTTCTAACAAAATTATTAATACGTATTATTGTGAGTTCACTGACCTTTCTACTTTTTATTATTGTTGTTTATAAATGGATTAACAATAATATCTTTATTACACCTAGTTTTGAAGTAACAGATATAATACTGAAAATGCATAGATAACTTCTTGGAGAAACTTTAAAATAATTATTTTTTAGTTATAAATTTTTAGTTAGTAAATAAATAATTATTTTGTTGACTATCTAAATCTCTCAAAATCTGTGAAAGTATAATTTATTTAAGCGTGTAAGCAATTTATTTAGCTATGAAATAACAATTTTTTACATTACTACAAATAATTCTTTTAAATTCACATCGTATAAAATTTTAACCGAATAGAGTAGTGAAAATTTCAAATTATCATAATATTCAAATAAATATGGTTCTTTACATAAAATAATGAACATTTAGACAATACAGTTGTATCTTAAAAAAATATACACATGCAAATTGAAATTAAGGACTAAAATATTAAGTGAACATCTTAGTTCTCATTTTTGAATTTTATTTAGAAATAATATTTTTTTTTAAAAGTTTTGGTTGGGGTTTAACGAAAAATTATAAAGAAGTAGGGCTTCTTAATTATTTTTTTTTATAAATTATTGTGCAATTATGTAAAACTTGTTAGAAATGATTAGAACATTAAGTACGAGTAAATACGGCACTAGAAATTTTTTAATGGTCTATGAGATAACTGTTAGTAATAATTCAAATAAATCAGGCAGTACAGTAGCTAAATTAGTTATTGCGTTACAACAGAAAATTTTTGTTTTATGATTTAAATCTTGTTACTAAATGCGTTCTACATTTCATTTATAATTAATAAATTATTTAATTTTTAATACTAATTAAATTTAAATATAATGCTTGCATTGTGTAAACTAATTTTTTTTTTACATTAAACGTATTTAAAATTACGACTAATGCAATGCAATAAAAATTAATAAACAAATCTTATGAAAATTACGATTAAAATCTTCATCAATGAATATTTCTTATGCTTTTTTAAAAATACATTCTAATTTATTACATTTAGTATAAGAAAATGTATTGTCTGACTAAGGAGTATTTATTTCAACTGTATAGATCAATTCTAACACACTGGAACACACTAACACTAACCCACTTGGAATCAAAATAAGTTTTCAAAAATAATTTATTTACTATACATATAAAATGTCTTTAGTTTTAAGAAATAATTGACAATCAAAACAATTATTTACTTATTAAAATGAAAATTCCTTAACTTTTTCAAATACTAATTTTAATGAAGTTTTAAATTTCATCACACTAACATTTAACCAAAATAGGTTTAAAAAAAAATGTCTATATCAATGCAAATATGTAATTAATTCAAAAATACTCGATTAGATTATTCAAAATGATTAAAAATTTTGTAGCATATTAGCAAATAACTAACACTTATATTATATTTCATTGTCTCTTTTAAGTTTTACTTATCTTTTATACAAATAAAATGATTTACTAAAATTTACAAATAAATAGTTACGAACTATAATATATTTTATTTAAAATATTCATAATAGTATTATAAATAAGTTTTACAGTGATGTATCTTAATTAAAAATTGATTTATATTAATTGAATCATTAATATAATTTATATTCTTATAAAAAATTTAAATCATCTCTAGATATACGAAAATAAGCTTAAGACATTTAACTTTATTAATAAATACTTATTATTTTTGTAATAATTATTTTTACAGGATCCAGATATTCAGTTTGAAAAAATTTATCAATATACAGTAAAACAAGAATTGGTAAAAATAAATAACATGTGATCTTTAAATAAAAAAAAAAACTAATTAAATACCTAAATTCTAGTTAAAAAAGGGATACGATTTACAATTACCTATAAATTATAAATCAACAGAAAATGATACATTACTATTAGTACCAATTGAAAAATTTTGTAATCCAAATAAAGAAATTAATATATGTAACCATTTTCAAGTATTAAATGAAAACGAGCCAAATAATGGAATAAAAATACAAATTGTAGATGACATAAGAACAAAAATGAATAATGACTCCACAATTGCTTTTTTGTTAAAGGTATAAATCAGGTTTACTATTTATAAAATTTTACGTAATCCTGTGGCTTGTATCCAAAACTGATATACTACAAAAATGTGATTTTGGGATTAACGATAAAGTATGTAAAAAAGCTTGTTATCTGCCATATACTAAAAAATAGTATGCATATTTTTTGGTAAGGTATATTTTTATTTTGAAAATGTCAATAGCATAACACCATTAAAATGAAAAAAAAAATTTTGTTGCCCAGAAAAATCTTTAAAATTGACATTAACAATCTTTTGAAAATAATCACAAAATTATATTTTTTACATTTAAAACTTATTTTGTATTATTCTAATAGGAATTTTAGTTATGTACATTAAAAAATATTCAACAAATCATTTACTAATAATAGACAAAATAAATTTATATTTTATTTTAGTTAGTAAATAATCAAGACATTAAAATAATATATGACGAAACTATTATCCTAATCAATATTATAGTATCTCGTACAGATAGTGGTTCATCTGTGAGCGAATATCAGGGTAAGTTTAATAAGATAATATCTACAATAAATATTCACTGTATTATTAGGCGTACTTATTTTTTCACTAATAATCCAATTTGACATTATTATTTATGTACTATTTTATAACATCGTTCTTATTGCTAACTAATTTGCTTTAGAGAATTTAAATTGTTGTTTAGTTACTTTTAAAATATGATTTTTCAAGTAAGTTGTCGAATTTCACTAGTTTTAAATTTTATAAATACTAGTTCTACATTTGTAACTTTGATATTTTACATAATACTCTCAATGTGTACTAAAATAAAAGAAAGAGAAAAAAATATGCGTACGTAAATTGTTTGCAGTTTAAGTTAAAGTTTATTATAACTTACTCCTCTTTCCCCTAATTTTAAATATTTTTTCATAAACGAATCAGTTAAAATATTAAAATTCATAAATCAGGATCATAATTTCACTTATATTTTGGTGTTCGTATATAACTTAGAAGTCACTAGAGGGTGGTTAGGGTAATTTAAAGGGTGCTGGTAGTGGGTAAATACCCAAGGACTTGGGCGCCAAAAAAGATAACAAAGAATTTTAGATACGACTATGTGTATTCTACGTACCACAAATGACACACCTCACATAAACATAGCACATTGCGTACACTAATGAAAAAACACAATACGTCTAGGAGTTTAAGATTACGTTTTTTAAGGCTTCATTACTATACATTATTAATAATGCGCAATTAAAACGATATTTCAGGTACTTCCTTGATTTTTGAAAAACCATCATACGTTATTAATGTTGCCTATGGTCGCAAAGGAGTTGTCTATAAATTTACTGCATGTTTCAGTAACGCATCACAACATTTGGATAGAAAGTGTAATGATCAAGTCAACGTAACCTACACTTTTGCTCACAATACCTCACAATGCACAAACTATCTAAGTATGTATCCACTAATTGACATACTAAAAATACGTTCAATTACTTTTTACATTTTTTTTTTTTTATACAAATGAATCATAAACTTTTATCTATGAACAAACATTTATATTGAATGATAGAATTAATTAAAGATATAAGGTTTTATACTATGGTCACCTTAGAATAAAAAAATTCTACATAGAATTAATTTATTATTTGGTAAAAATGTATAAAATATTTAGTTAAAAATAAATGTTCACATAATTATATGGAACTAGTAATTTCTAAATAGACAAATCACTATTTAACAACGTCACCCTATTTCATAAAAAATTGATGTGTTCGAGGTTAATAATATAATATATGATCATTCTATCAGATCCTTCCAATTCTAAGGGGACTTGTAGAAACTTATTGGTAAACTATTTGCCTTCATTTATATTCTAATTCAAGAATCTTTAAATATATGAATTTTAAATATTAATATTTATATAAAATATATAAATATATTATATGAAATTGTTTCATTTCTTTTATAATTATTCATAATAATTATTATAGTTTAATATTTGATTTCAGATTGTCTGTTAAATCATTTATATATTGATAATAAAAGTGGAAATTTAACAATTAATAGTGTTATAAATGAAGGATTCTATGAATTTGTTATAGAGGCAAAGTACAATGGCGAAGAAGGTTATAAAGCAGCCCAAACAACGGTTAGAATTTTCTGTTAAACTAACTAAAATTTTTAATTAAATTTTACAGAATATTCATTGTTTTTAAAGGTTACACTATTTGTTGATAATGTTGCCGTTTGTGAAAAAGACGACGTAAATTTTCAAATAGCTTATAGAAAAATCTACATAGATGAAAATACAATAAGTGTTGTTTATAAAAATACAAATTTCAATCAAAATTGTACTTGGGAGTTAGCTAAATGTCATCCAGACGCAGGTTTGTTATTAAATATTCAAAAAACTAGGTAAAATGTATACATAAAAGATTTCTGAGAATTTTACAGTTAAATATATTTAAATAACTTATAATAATGTTAAGAACCATATTTAATTTCGTTAGAATCACATAAAGAGGCGCCCGCAGAAACAGAGAATCGAATCTATTAATCACGAGCTAGGATTAATCAAATTTAATGGATAGCTAAGACCATATTTATTGTAAATTGAACTATAGTACAGTCCAAGGTTAAAAAAAAAATTTTTTTTCGGTTTATTAAGCGCGCCTCCTTTGCAAAAAAATTAATAATTAAATTAAATTTTATATTAGATAGTTATTGTAAAAATTGAAAACAATATATAAATATCTAATTAACACTAAAAAATGTTTTTATTGATTTAATAATTTTTTTTTTAAATGATAGCTTTTTTAAGTTAAAAATTCTAAATTAACTTCATCTTAATGATTTTTAAAATGTCAATTTTTCGCAATATTTTGTCTTTGAAAAATATGTATTTTTTCAAACTTTGACGATTATGTCTTAAATCAAATATTTTGGATTTTTTTGAACTTATTCTGTGTCAATATTGCTCAATAAAAGCTGAATACAAGGGGAATAGACTTTAACAAAATAAATAAATAATTGTGCTTCATAAAAAATATTATATTGAATTACACCTCAGATTACTATAGAAACTAAAAAATTAAGTTTAAAAAATTTTATCGAACACAACTCAAAAGAAAACGTTTGTATAATAAATTGAATCCATAACAACTGAGTACACAAAGAAATTTAAAAAATAATTAAACTGAATCTAAACCTTAACTTTTTTTTTTTTTGAATCAATGACTTGAAGAAAATTGCCTTTATTTTGCGTACCCCCAAGCCACCATTCTAATCAGCATTCAACTAAGCCAACCAGTGTATTTTTTTAATTTAAAATATTTTCTGTACTAAAATATTAAGTTATTACTTAGTTCTACTAAATTTAATTAGAGGTACCCACAGCAACAGAGAAACGAAATTTTTTATCATAATCGAGGAGTAATAAAATTTTATAAATAGTTGAAAACCTTTATTTTTGAGTTTTGAAATTCAAGTATAATTCAAGTCCATCTTTAGGAGCTTATATTTTATTTAGCCATTTATTTGCATGACTGAAACATTGAGCTGTTTAATATTTGTTATAAAGCTTTACTTCAGTTTTATATAGTAATATTATTTATGCGATTATATACATAAAAGGGTTTTCAGTAATTCAAAATGATAATTTAAGACAAAAATACAATTTCTATCACGTATTTATTCATATCAGAATCAAATCTGTATACAATATATATAAGAGGGATAATCACCTGATATATTTTATGTCACTCCCACACAATGCCTTTAGTTGATAATGTATCCCTTTGAAGCACGTATATAATTTGACATTTATAAATCCGTTTTTTATCTCTGTTTGGCAATAAACGTTTTAATTAGTTAAAAAAACATTAATTCAACAATGAGATCATATGTCGCTTATAGCACAATTTAAATCATTAGGTACTCCCAGATTTCAAGTATTAAAATCAAATTTGTTTGCTAAAATCTGGTAGTAATAACAACTTAATAAAATACAAAATCACTAAACTCATTAATACTATCAACAATTATAATTTCAGCTAAAATATCGATGACATAATGAGGCTTTTAGATATTATATAATATAATGTTTGGATAATAAAAAAATACTAATAAAAATAATAATATTTTTACAAAGCAAAATAAAGTATATTCTATTAAAATCGAAACGATACTGATCATATTTGTTCAATTTCTTATTCACGTTTTTCTTTAAAAAAAAAAAAACAATTTTATAAAAATATTTTCAAAATAAAAAATGTAAAATTGGGAGCAGCACATTACACCCCCTCTTCCTTTAGGACGATTCATCAAACTAAGTTTTAAAATCATAAAACAGAAAGTATCGTGTGTTCATTTATAGTACAGTATTTACTAATAATTTGTTACTCACAAACTAAAATACTCTATGCTTAAAATCATTTTTTTTTTTTAAGAAAATATAGCAAAAGTTTTTCATTTTAAAGATAAAATTTCTATTACAGTAATGCGTAATATTGAAATAAATAACGGCGAAATAAAAATAAAAGAAGGACTAGATCGCGAGTCAGCTATATTCTATGACGATCCAAACGTATTCCTTAAGTTAAGCTGTCAAAACAAATCTTATGAAAATGATGCAATACAGTTTCCACAGTGGTTTGAGTACATGCCGTATGATCCACATTCGACAGTTATACAAATAGTTATAAACGATGTCAACGATAATCCACCGACGTTTCCAGAAAAACACATTGTCATTGGTTATCCTGTGGCCCAAGTCGCACTTGATGTGTCGCCCGAACACCTTGTGCAGGTCAAGGTAAGTGTGTGTTTAAGCGTCATATTGAATTAATCTAGAACACATTAATTATAATGAGTAATAAATAGTAATAATATTTACAAAACGATGTACGGATTGATCGATCCGTGTTAGATCTCGCATTATTAATATAATAATATAATAATTAAACCATCTAGGTAATTGACGGTTAGATACCACATTGATCTCATAATTGTTTGATTACTGCGCTTTCGATACAGCCTCCTTAACATCTAACACGATTTTTAACACCCGTAAAGTAATATGATTTGTATATACACAATGTTTTACATGATTTACAGTCTCAACTTAAAAAAAAAAACCTTAGTTGACGTTACTTTCTATTTAAATTAATTCACTAAACTTACACAATATTAGTCATAAGTGTATTAAACTTATGTTATCTTTCAGATGTTATTTTGTAGAAATAACTAAAAATAAAAAATTGCTTAAGAAAATAATACTTAAACATTTCTTGTCAAAGAATTAGTCAGCGATTACCTCATCGATTTCGTACTTTTACCATAAGTTTTCTCGGCTGTTTGTCAATTTACCTCAGGTACCATTATGTTTGTCACCGTTGAACAAAGAGATGTAAGTGACTTACCGGTGACCATCCGACACAATCTCCTGTTGCGCAAAATTGCATTCTTCATGCCCACGCAGACACAGGTCGCTTTTTTTTCAATCAATCATTCGTTCGAAAACACTGTCTATGCAAAATAAGCGTGAGTGCATTTTATGTCCAATATTCTGGGCAGATGTTGTAAGTCACTTGCGATATACATCAACGTAGACGACAGTTAAGTCATCGGAAATTGAACTTAAAATACACTAATAATAACACTGAGCCGTGGCGTATACATACACCGAGACGATTATATTTGAATTTTATTAATCGTCATATAAAGTTCAAAGTATTATCAAACCTCAAGTTAAACCTAACAACTGTATTACAGGGTCCACTGGAGTCGTGTCCCCTGGATGAAGAAATATCCAGCCGTCTTGAAATTCATTTAGAATGTCCGTTCGTTTGTTATTATTAGTGATATTAATAGTCAATTAAAGTAATTGTGCAATATACAACTAAAAATATCTATTTATTGGTGTTTTTCAAATATTTCAAATAAAGATTTTAGAAATAAAAGCAAATTCGATCAGTTTAGCTCGGACCTATTTACTTACCTGTACTTGTTTCTAATTAATGTATATGAACAGAAAGTGGCGTGTTTATTACTTTGACCTATGCTAGTGTTATTAAAGTTTTTATTGTATAACATGTAAGTTATCGAATAGTTACTATCTTATGACAATAATAATAAATTATTGAGGAGAATCGAAAGGTGTACCTAAACTGTTTAATTTTTCGATTTGGTCAGTTTATAAACCTAAGACTGATCGAATAATTCTAAATCGTGCTGTTTCAAACAAATAAATCTCATAAGGAATTCACCGATTTGCACGTTTTTTAAATATATTATTCAGTCGAATAAAGCTAAAATTTAATTGCAATTTCTGCGAATACAATTAATATATGGATGCAGTAATTTTTGACCTTAACTCCCTTACATAAGCGAGAATTCAATGTATATATTATATCATCGATTTACGTCCGGTTTTTTCAAAGCAAAAGAACGGTGAATATTTTAACAACTTTTTTATGGAGCATTCGTAACTCTTTAAGAGGACATAATTTAGTAATATAATTACTACTCTGTTTACCTTTAACGTCCTCTTTAAAATACTATTTTTGTGTTAGAGACGATGAATATCATCATAGCTCAGTGAAATAGAAACAAAACCCTGTATTTCGTACCAAAGCAAAACGCATTTTCGACTGAGCCAAATGGTCTTTCCAATAATTTAACATTTTTACGCGATAATACAATCAATAAATATATGAGTTGCCATTTAATAAAATCAAATAACTTAATTCTTCATTCGCGTTTAAAAAAATGTTAAGCAACTGCAAGTAATATTGTAACTTTTTTATTGCTGACTCAAATGTAAATTGAAATCGTGATGCTTTTAAAAACTATACTAAAAAAATTGTTATCAACATAACAATATTTTTCTTTTTATAAAATTAAAATAAGTTTTTGTTTTCTTAAGTTTTAATAATGTTTTATTTAAAAATAAAAAATCAATGAATAAAGCACTTTATTTTTAGTTAAATGCTTTGCTTGCTTTTTACAACACATGAAACAGTAAAAAGAAAGGGAAAATTGAATTATAAATATAAAAACAGTTTTGTTTTATTTAACAAAAAAAAAATTTGCTTACCAACAAAATTTTAATTGTGTTAATTATACCGAAAACATTATCTCCTTTAAAATATATTTACTAAACAGTAACACATTGAACTCAAGATAATAATAAATTGTAACAAAAAATGTGGATATTATATTTAAATGAATATAATTAATAAATATAAATTTTGTAAATTAAGTGAGAATATTTATCTTACTAATGATAATTTGGAAATTAAAATATTTTATATCATTTTAGGCAACTGACAATGATTTTGGTGAAAACGCAAATATTACATATTCATTGAAGAGCAATGATGGGGATGATTTTTTGATTGATCCAATGACTGGTATTATATACTGTAATCATTTGGTGGATAGTGGTGACGTTGTAAAAGAATTTACAGTGATAGCAAATAATTCGGTAAAGGACCCAAACGGCGAAGATATGACATGCGAGTTGTTAGTGACGGTAATATTAATAATATTGAAATTAAAACTATACTAAATTTATTACGTAAAATCTATTCCAGGTAAAATACCTCACTTACGAACACATTATAAAAGTTAATACTAAGTTCAACGTGGAGGAATACATCGAAATATTGGAAAGACAGCTATCAGATATAACAGGATGGAAAATATCTTCACTGTCTAATAAAATAATCAATGGAGAAGTGGATGGAGGTGGTGTCAAACTAGAGAGGACAATGATCGTGTATGGAATAGACAATAAATCCCTAGTCCACGGATCGGACTTGGAAAAGTCAGTGGAAACGGCATATAGTAATATAAAAGACAATATAATAAAACGATCGACGTCGCGATTGCAATTAATATCAGTTGATTGTTGATTTCATTGTTATCTCAGGAAACTGAAGGATAACAAGAAGATCTTGAAAATTGTGACATACTATCAACATACTACGAATCCAGAAGAGTCAAAAGGCACTTCCGTTTTCTTCACTTTGATGGTGTGCATAGCTGTATCAGCAGCTGCCTTGGGTGTCTTATTCTATGGATTTATCAAGTAAGCACATAAATTCACTCTCGCCACGTTCACTCAATATTTTTCGACAGTAAAGTGTTAATAATTAAAATTTTTATTGCAGAAATGGTCGATATATGATGTTTATCTCGAGTTTGGCCACGACACCCCTAAAAGACGACATGGAAAACATGTAAGTATATGCATGCATTCATTTGACAAAGATGTATTATTAAGAGCACGATTTGTACTCTTTAATTATTCGCAATACGTGTTGTCTTCACTTTTATTATTTTACGACGACTTTTGCCAGGTGTCAGAGCAACTGGATAACGACTTTTGACAGAACTAATCTGTCACCTCAGCCATCGTCAAGAATAAATTTGTCCAGGTAATTATATTTTTTTTTACATAATGAATTACATGATTGTGTTTTGACGTCGACAGTGATAAAAATTATACAATTGTACGTTAAACACATCTAAGAACATTTGTTTTAAATAGCTATTTTTTATGATTTGTGTTTTAGAAAAAACGGTGAATCAACCTCAAGGTCTAACAACCAATATTATTCAGATGTAGATCATGTTGAGTAAGTTACCGTCGACATATTTTATAAAATTTTGTATTACAACTATTTTCTAGATAAAAGTAATATTTTTCGATTTCAAACATTTTTTTTAAGGAACAAACCCGCATTTGATGATAATTTGTTCAGCTTTGACAAAATTGAAGAAGACAACAGAACCAGCAATGACAACAATTTTGCAGATTTCAGTCATATGAAATAGAATATAATATTTTAACAGAATAAAAAAAAACACGACTTTATAGACCTTAAGACTTAATTATAATTACCACATTGATTTCTGTATATATTTAAGTCATTATCAGTCCTTAAATGTGTTATCGATTAAAATTTGCATCGATGTAATCTTTGTTTAATTACTTCTTGTTTACTATTCAATCCGGACACTTTTATTGTACTTTTTAAACTACTATGTACAATATATTCATGTTACGCGTGTATTGCTTATATGTAATAGCTATATGTACTATTTTATTTTTTTAATAAAGGTGTGGAAACATTTTCACTGATGCCGATGTTAACCTATTATTATAGTTGATACAATTTGCCAATTTCGAATCATAAACCAATCACCTTGTACCACATATATTATTATAATGCTATCTAAACGGAATTTAATTAAGATAACAACTAATATTTACTGTTAATACCGTCGTTAATAATAAGTCTGTCAGGTAGTAGATACCATTATTTTAATTATGAATCGTTGTCTTGTTTCGAAACATCGGATTGCTATGAAAATCTGCTGCTCGGGGCTCGCTTTAGGGTCAATTCGTGCATCGAGGTTTGCATTGTTCCCTAAAAATTAATCTGAATTAAAACCATATTATCAAACTTAAAGATCCGTGAAAGACGTCATGTAAAACATTACCTAGTTTATTATGCAAAATAATTCTACATAAACTACACACTGAGCGGTTGCCGTTCACTATAATTGCACAGTGATTGTTGTGTGCAGATTTTGTTTACTAAAATGGACAATTTCTAAATTTATTTTATTTTCCAAAATCGTGCTGTGCCGTGACACGAAAAATTGACTAACTTGTATCAAATTTCTGCTTGAAAAACTATTATTTGTAACACCAATGTTTTTAGTACTTCTGCACAATCAATTTTTCTCTGTTTTTTTTTTTTTCAAATTTATATTACACTTAAACTGCTACGTTTTTTATGTTTTGTAACTTTTCTTAAAATTATACATCATGCGCTTGGTAGAAACCTCGCAGACAGACGCTTCGTTTAACATCCCAAATAACAGCTATTATTCAATAACGAATTTATAATTCTTTTTTAGCGACCCATTTGAACTCGTGTGAATGATTTTTTTAATGAGTATATTATTTATTATACTATGCCCAACGTTTATTTTGACTTGTGTTTTATTTAGTGCTTATAGTCATGCCCACCGCCTTAAATTACTTAAGTGAAAAGTGTAGTCTACTAGAATTTGTTTCACCAATCACTCGGTCGCACTCTTATAGCGCTGCCACCAATCCACTTTCATAACAAACTCGCTCTCAGTCCCACAGATTACTATTAATTGTCATTTTGTCTCTGTTGAACGAAATGCACAATTGTATGGCATACAAGCCGGTTGACATTCTACTCGTATGGCACAACGCGTAGTTAATTCACTTTGTCGTATTATTGTAATTTTATAGATCAGAAAGCAATTGCCGGAGAAAGGGTTGCAGTAGGGGTGCTGGCGATTTGCCAAACCGGTTCAAAGGTGTAATTAGTAACCTCAATGGGATCGGGTATCATATATAACAACATACTCCCAATGTTATGAAAGGAATTGTGTTTTCTGGGCTAAAAATACAATTTAAATGCATAATACGTCCACATTAGACTACTCATAGAGATAACAGTGTGTGCTACAGAATGACTTTGTGCAATGACGTATTGTATTTCAAGTCGTTTCGAAACCGATTTGCCTCGAACAGCTTTCGGTGAACGCGTTTTGGACAATTTTCTAGTGTTTATGTGCATTGATATCAATGCACACAAAACTGGTATTGTACAAAGTTACGCTGATGTTATACAACTAGTGTCAATATTTTTCATTGCAGTTCAGTCAAATATTTTGCGCCATTATTCAAATTGTAACTTAAAACACTAATAAAACCCACGCTGTTTTCAATGGGATACTTCATATTTTACTATTATTAAAGGATGATAAACAATATAAATGTATCCAAATAGCTTAAACGAGACAAATAATTTCCCTCTAATGTCAAATGAAAATCATTATTTAGCAATTTGTTCAATTTTATTCAAAACACAAAAATCAAAACTCTAATGTTATATCGTAAACAGCGATATGGAAATGAAATTTTTTTGCTCTGTGAATATCAATAAAACGCTTAGCAAATAGCACAGATCGGCGTAATTGCCTTCGCAATTTTCGTATTTAAAAACAACTCCATAAGCAATTTACGGTCATTGAGATTGTTTTTAAATTGTAAAGCCAAACAATATTGTTACACTTTAATGTGCATAAGGTCGTTTTATTGATTTGTCATCAGCATATAGATATACCACGTCAATAGCCCGCAGCGGCGTCACCGCGACACAATGTGCACTTTGTCGAGTGCAGCCATGTGACTTGCATTTGACCCTCGTACAAAACGCGCTATTATATAAAGCACAAGCATACACACACTCGGTACTGTAACTATCGGCGCAGTGGCCAGCACACATTCCGATCTACTAAATAGAACCCGTAACGCCATAAACGTTAGAATGATATTATGATTAATGACACTTACATTGGAGAGTACACGGAGGTGGTCAAAATTGTCCACAACAACAATAATAATATTAATAATACAATGTTTATTGTTGTGGGATGCAATGTCCCGGGCATTTCGCAATACTTGCATATTTCGTGTGTAAAATCCGTTACGATATCATTACTGCTGATAAAATATCAAATACTTCATCTTTGTCCGAAAGTGTATAATTCGTTGTAATTAATACATTGACCAAGCTCGCCAAACTTAAATAACTAGAGAATCACTGCTCTTTAAATGTATACATTCTAGGCTAAGGCGTATTTAGAATTCATTTTAAGGGGAAGCAATTTATTTAATCTATTTTTAATATGACAGGGATTCTCGAAATGATCAAAACAATTTTTAGAGGCACATCCAGGACAAATAATTAAACACTTTTAAACCAAGTTATAAAAAAATAGAACTTCAAAAATCTAAAAAATATATAATTATTGCGTTCAAAAGAGTACTCCAAAAACTATTGCTCGACAAACTTTATGATTAGCAATTATTTTTTAGACAAAGAATAGCATTTGAAACAATTTACGAGACCAATCATCAATTTTTTAAGTCAAGTTCGTTTTGTGAAACTAATTAAATAGTAGTTGGTTAGTTTTTACAATAACATTGTAATAGTATTTTTTTATATATATATATATATATATAACCTCATTTTCAATGTTATATACATATTTCCACTGATATTTAAATTCATATGGAATAGCACTTGAAATATTTATATTCCAATAATAAATAGTACACAAAATCGAAATTAAATGTATGAATTTCAAATGCCGGATGAAAATTATAATAATATATACGAACAGTATTGACATTGATGTTCAATAAAATGCAAATTAGTAAATAAAATTCAAAATAAGCAAGAGGAATTTATAATTTTTACTGTGAACAATATCTCTAGAGAAGTATAGTGATTACTGATTTGAGAGTATGTCTCCTTCCAATAGCAGTTTAAATGTAAACTATTACTAATGCATAACATCGATGAAAATCATAAATTACCTCGCTTACAACAGTTGTAAATCCTGTTAAAGTTAAATGTCTTTCATCATTAAATATACTATTTTATGATATAAATTACATTATAAAGCCTACGCGTGTGTCAATAAAGTTCTATGATGTAATTCGAATCTGTAGCGTTTATATTTGTTTATATTTTAATTTTTTTTGTTTACCAATTTTTCATTGGAACTAATTTTTAATACTTCTATGAACTATTTTGAAACAAATTCATTTATTATTTGTGAAAATTTTCAAATTTTATTTGTCTAATTTATCATTTTTATTGGTGCTACTCATAATGTTTTGTTTAAACGTATGATGTTTAAAGAAATTCTCAAATATTATTAATGAAACTTGATACTTTTTGATAAAACCTTATCGAATTGAAATTGTAAATATCTAAAATATAATATCTAGTAATTTGTTTCGTGGTATAACTTATGTACAAAATGCGTTAATGAAATATGTGTACGATTATAAAAAAAATTGTAAGAGGAACAATCTAATGTTCCTAGACATTGGTTGTAGAATAAAAAATTAATTGGTTAAGTAATTAAAATTTAATCAAACCGATGTTAATCCTACGTCAATAATGATATTATTAAATTTTTAATTGCAACTAAAACGTAATACATATAAATTGTTTTTTCTATAAAGGAAGACAAATTTAAAGTGTGAAATCTTAACTTTTTTTTTACCTAAACAAAGAATATCCATGTTTACGCAATAACCAATTTATGTAAAACACATTGAATATATTTAGCGTATCTCAATGTATAATCTTCATTTTTCTACAGTGTTATTTAACTAATAATTCATTGCAAAAAAATACATTTCAATAATGGACAATTGTTTTTAACAATATTTTACCATCGCCGCAATATGTAAATTAAGCTTTGATCAATTCATTTGATTTATGTTTCAAATTTAGGCAGAAATGTTGCAACGGCAATCTTGTTTTTACTTAGCTGTTATTTATTGAAGTAATTTCCGAACCTTCTGATTTTACTTGTAGGGTTTAGGCATCAAAAAGATACTGTCATAATTTATTTACCGGAAACTGACAACAGCTTGCGTGCAGATATACAATAGGATATTATTTTGGAGTAAAAAAAATTATTCATTGGAGTATGATATCAATCTAAATAATTAGGCATTTTCAAGGTGATATTTGTTAATATATAAAAATAAATTAATCGGAAGTACGTAGGAATGTGAATGCCAACAATAGGAACTAGCAGATATGACGTGAGTTGTATCACACTCTTGTTTTTAAAACAGTATAATTTAGTGATACAAAATTTGTACCTATTTAATAGAGAACATTCGTTTTAACCTTACCCATTATTTTCAACCTTAATAAAGTCGTTGCTGTATAAAATTAGATCACTTAAATAATAACGCATTTTTTTTGCAATATATTTTTATTAATCAATTTAAACGTAACGTGAAAATAAAATCACACATTCGTCCTGACGCTAGTGAAACAATCAATATTCCTATACTTACATATCCGGCATATGCATAATGCGAATTGCACATTGCACTTAAATAGAACGCTTTTTTAACAAGCTTGTCGGACAAAGTGTGAAAAATGTCAAACGTTTGCAACAGATCGCTCTAGATGGCGATCTCTGAGGCGATTGGCAAGACCTTGCGGTCGCTGCCGCCACTTATTAACTATCTCCTTATAAGTTTTGT